CAACTTGGCCTGGTTGGGTTGGGTTGGGTTGGGTTGGGGTTAGGACATCCAAAGCTGGTTGGGTTGAGAAGACCCCAATCTGGTTGGGTTGAGAAGACCCCAGGCTGCTTGGGTTGGGTTTCTCCTGATATTTCTCCTCCTGCAGGTCAAGAACCTCACAGAGGAGATGGCCGGGCTGGATGAGACTATTGCCAAGCTGACAAAGGAGAAGAAGGCCCTGCAAGAAGCTCACCAGCAAGCGCTGGATGACCTGCAGGCGGAGGAGGACAAGGTCAACACCTTGACAAAGGCCAAAGTTAAGCTGGAACAGCAGGCGGACGACGTGAGTGTGGACCGGTCCCACCACAGGCACTGCTGAGGAGCTTTCTGGGGCAGATGAAAACCTGAGGTTTCTCCCCATTTCTGTGTTTCCATACAGCTCGAAGGCTCCCTGGAGCAGGAGAAGAAGATCCGGATGGACCTGGAACGGGCCAAGAGGAAGCTGGAAGGTGACTTGAAGCTGACCCAGGAGAACATAATGGACCTGGAGAATGACAAGCAGCAGCTGGAGGAGAAGCTGAAGAAGTGAGGCTGAACCTTCCGCTCCAGTCTGACCTGGTCAGGGGGTGCAGGCAGGTAGGGACCTCAGTGTTCTCCACCTTCCTCTGCAGGAAAGAGTTTGAGATCCACCAGCAGAACAGCAAGATCGAGGATGAGCAGGCACTGGCCCTGCAGCTCCAGAAGAAGCTGAAGGAGCTGCAGGTGAGGGATCAAGTCTCCACCTGGTTGGGCTGGGCTGAAGAGCCTCCAGCTGGTTGGGTTGGGTTGAGTTGAGAAGCCTTTAGCTTGTTGGATTTAGCTGAGTTGAGTTGAAGAGTCTCCAATAAGTTGAGTGGGGCTAAGCTGAGTTGAAGATTCTCCAGCTGGTTGAGTTGAAGAGTCTCCAGCTGGTTGAGTTGAAGAGTCTCCAGCTAGTTGGGCTGGGTTAAGCTGAAGAACCTCCAGCTAGTTGGGTTGAAGAAACTCCATCTGGTTGGGTTGAGCAGTGTTGAGTTGTCAGTTGAACAGTCTCCAGTGAGTTGGGTTGGGCTGAGTTGAGCTGAAGAACCTCCAGCTGGCCGGGTTGGGTTGAGTTAAAGAACATCTGCCTAGTTGGGTTGAGTTGAGTTGGGTTGAAGAGTCTCCATCTGGTTGGGTTTGGTTTAAGAATGTCTAGCTGGTTGGGCTGAAGAACCTCCAACTGGTTGGGTTGGGTTGAGTTAAAGAATGTCTGCCTAGTTGGGTTGGGTTGAGTTGAGTTGGACTGAAGAGTCTCCAGCTGGTTGAGTTGAGTGGACAGGTTGGGTGGAGC